CCATTAACTAGTAAATTATTTGCTTAGTTAATTATTATCTACGATGTAAAAAATAAAGAAAAAATATAGAGAAACGTCTATCAGTTATAATTTACATCAATACGAAACGATTATGTGAAAGATCCTACCAGAGCATGTAATGAAATCCTATGGCATTGATTTAAGCCGTATTGGTATAACGAAAGAGAAAAGGGGCAGAGGTAGGACAGTCTTTATCTACACTTTATTGACTTTCAATGAAAGCCATTTTCTGCGAAAGTATGGTATAAAGTATTGGTGATTCACGTATCACGATACTATTTTACGATAACATATTAAATTCATATTACAAATAAAACACCGCACTGTATTTTCTATAACATTATGTCCTTACCATAACACATAATATCTCATGTTATTAAAACGCTTAAAAAGGTATGCTGTATATATTTTTAACAGTAATATCGTAAAATTAACATACATTGCATTTCCAAAAGTCATCATAAAAGCAATAAACCGGAAATTACAGATTCCAATACCGTTTATTTCAATAATTCAATATTTATTTTAACTTTTATTCGAATTTATATACTTTTGGTAAACCTTAATTATTAAAATATAAAAGCATTATTTATGCATTTATAAAGATTTCTATTTATTTAACAAGTGATTTATTTGATACACTTCCATCCAACACAGAAAATTTGTACAAACATTTTTAACATATTAACTCTGGCTCTATCTACCGTATTTTTAAATAAACAAAGTGTTAATATTAAAAGGAATAAGAAAATTGCATTAAACACAAACAAAAAGGCATTTTCATTGCACTACCATACAGTGCTCGTCTAAGCGTTTGGGACAGTAATCTTCTTCTTATTTCATGAAATTTCAATTTATGTAAAGTTTCTTACAATTTTTAATATAATTTCATGATTTATTTTCTAGTTTTACAGCGTCTTACTTTTCCAATCACTTAGTGTCATTCATAAAATATTTAATTTCCAAAATAACACAATACCTACTGTCACACTTTTTTCTTTTTGATATCTTATTTTCCATTTTCCCAGCCTTATACATATTTGACATTGTAATATATAAATATGAAATGTTACGAAAGGAAGGAAATTGTAAACTTTTTCAATAATCTCGATACAGTCGTATCTTCATAAAAGGTCACAGAAAGCATTTCCTTTCTCGTAATATATCAAAAGTTGGGAAAATTTTCCTGCAAAAAAGGATATAGAAAACTTGATACAAGTTTGATTTCAAATAAATTAGACGAAAGTTCAAAAAGATATTTTCAATTATTCATAAAATTAAGAAGATCTATTAGTTACGAACCTAAAACTTAAAAAATACTATTCAAAATTATATCAATAGTTTTAAAAACAATATGGAAGTCAAATACGTAGTGGGTGAAAATGATAGCGGTTACTGAAAAGTAATCGAAACATTGGTTGGAGGTAAAATAATAAAACGGAAGAGGAATCTATCAAATATGTATATATCGGCGCTACCAGCTTTAATAACGGATGCGACTAGAAAATAATTTGAGGCTGTTATCAATTCTTTTAAAACATCATTAGTACTTATGATTATTGTTAAAAGTAAAACGAAATCAAAGGCTGCTTAAAAGGAGAATAGAACTATGTTTAAATCTTGGTGTAAATATGACGTCTGAACACACGATGGCAGACTCCAGAATTGAGAATTCAGTGTTCAGTGAGTGCGTATCATTGAAGTATGTGATTATGACGAACCTTCGAGAAATACAGAAGCATTAAAAACAATTGAAGTTTCATTTTAAAATATCATGGATCGCTCTAGAAGAAGTGACATTTGTAACGTCAGCGAGGCTGGCGTCTCTCTCTTTAGAAACAACGAATTTGTAATAGATCCGATATATATATTTATAAAAGTATACTTTGAAAAATCTCTATGTAAGGTTCCTTTTTGATATAAGTTAAAAATTGAAGGCAACAATTTTAGAGGAAAAGAAATATGTAGGTGTATCACTTTACTTACTTTTCGTTTTTCTAAATTAACGCGTAGTCTTTTTATTCTTAAGTACAAAGTTTTCCTCTTTTAAACGATAGCAATAAAATAAGGAATAAATAGAACTTGTAACAAGTTATTATGAACAATTTATAAAAAAATACGATTATATTTATATGTATGAAAATAGAAACAGTAATAAGTTTTTATGTTTAAAATAAATAGGAAGTAGTTATGTACTGTAACCGATATAACCATTATCAACCCAATAGCCAGTTGAAATTTTACCAGTTTTCGTGAGTTAAAACAAAGGCTTTTGAATAATATTTTAAAATTATTTTTGTTAAAAGTTACAACGACATTTGCCAGTTTTTAATGACATACCGTGACAAACTTAAATGAATGTACATATGGTTTTATACATATTATTTTGATGTATAAGGTCGGTTTGGGTAACATCGTCTGGAGGGTAAGATTGTCTAACACGAATAACTACTAATTCGGTAGAGCTACAAAAGTGGGAAAAAATTAGGGGCACAATAAATCCATTTAAGTTCATATTAATTTACAAAGATATCGCTATACGTAGTATGAACGGAAAAAAATGCGGTTGTTATTTCAGTACGCTAAAGCACTTGCATCGGGAGTACACCACTTTTTTAAAAAAATGGTATTTGTGTTGAAATTTCAGTTATTTGGAGGATCTATGCAATTAATTTTATTCTTCTATGATATATCTTAGTGATAGTAAATTACATTAGTAAAATATACGTTTTTTACGAAGTTATAGTTGATCAAATTAAAAGCTAATCTCAAAATAGGCCGTTGCGAAGTCCGTCTAAGCCATGGAGGGTAATGAATGTAATATGCCGGTCTTTGCCACATACAGATATTATCAACATTTTTTTAAACCTTTTTAAAATCCATATTCCAAATCAGAATTCACACGATTGATTGGGCAGATTTGGTCTGGAATAGCTGCCCAAGTGTTGCGAAATGGTTTCAGAAAATCTGGTATTTACCCAGTAAACCGTGATGAAGTAAATAAAGACAAATTTGATATGTTGAAACTAATACACTGGAATGAAATATTTCTGCAGCAGAGAAATAAGGAACATATTTTAACAGAAGAGCAACAAGACACTGGGCGAAATACAAAATCTTTAGTGTCAATTTTAGTTGTTTTTTTTTAATATAAAGTTGTAGTCGGATAGTGTAGATGAATTCAATAGTCGCAACACACCGCCAGAAATAACTGTACAGAACCATATTGTTACCTTTGAAACCGAGATTGGTGAAAACGTGATTTCAGTAGAACCGAAAATTAACAATGAACCGTTATTAGACAATTCTGTACCGTTATTAGACAATTCTACTTATTAGTTATTATTAATTGTTTACAACCCCTGAATGACGGTCTTCGCCGACGAATGTAGAATCTAGCCAAATGAGTGAAATAAAATGTTATTTCTGCGAGCTAGGGTGCAAATATGAAGTTGTTATATGAACTGGCATTCGCACACATATTCATTGATATCTGTCACTACGCTAGCTACCGCTAACTAGAGAATTTTGCCAGTAGACGGTCTTAGCCAACATGGGTGCCAAATCCGTCTTATTTCACTATTGAAAACAAAAATCGTTTATTTTCTGAACCAATGTTTTAATTGTCATTTTGACAAGTTTACAGTTTGGTCAAATAAACACACTATCATGTAGTTCAATCATATTTGGAATGAAGGTTATAGAATCGCCAACTAAGACCATTTGTATTTTTTTTAAATTTTATATGCCGGTCTTCCCTGAACTGACCTTAATTAAAATATTATATTAAAACTTAAAACTGTAAGATTATATTGAGTTGATAATATGCCGTTAAAATTTGTTGTTTTATCGTTTACTTATTTCTACTTAGTTCTTTTTTATTATATAGTTTTGTAATAAAGTATCGTACTATTTCCATCCAACGTTTTGTTTCATAATCAATAAATTGATGAATGTTTGTTGTATGACGTTATAAATAAGATAAAGTATTAAAAAAATTAGTCCTCCTGGCCTAATTTTCTTCTACTTTTACAATTCTCATATGTACCAGGTACTTGTTTTTGTCAACTCTAAATGTCGTAAAATCGTCTTAGTTAATGATTTTAGTTTTTACTGACTCATGCAACCTTTTTATTTTACACATCCATTATCTAAACTAGACCTTTTTTGAAAAACATTATTAATTCCTTTTTAAACCATTTGAAATTATCTATTAAAAGTTATTCATCAAAAGAAGCTTCAAAAAATTGAAAAAATGTAAAACATTAACGATCATTTAATTTCAAAAAATAAGAGACAATATTACAAAATGTAAGACATATAAATCTATAACTATTCCTTATAAAATACCATAAATCTTGTCTTTGACTGGTAGTTTACTCACATAATAATCATTAACTTACGCAAAAAACAATACTTTACAATTTTATACAAAAATAATGCCGTTTATCACCTACTGAATCGATAATAATATTTTTCTTTACTATATTTGCGGTAAATTTTAAAACATTAAATAATTGAAGAAGCAAGTGCGACGAAGGAAAAATATAACTGGCGAAGTTAAATATATAAATATTATTTATTGAAATATATACAAGATTTGATATTTACAAGTATTTTAAAAGCCCCTGGAGATTAAAAATCCAAATGTGACTTATTAATACACATTATTTAGAGATATCAACAACGTTTTCTTATTGAAATATAAATATTTTTTAACAATATTAAGCTTTATATAGCTATCAATACAAAATTTATTAGTCCTAAAAGACTCAGCAAATTCAGAATGCGGTTGAAATGTTGCTCATAATGCTTTCAAACTTTTGTATAATACAAATTACAAGTATAGTTTTCTACTTTCACGTATTAAAAATATACAACTAAAGCGATATTACACTGCAGTTTTACAACACAATAGAATATTTATGATTTTATTCATACAATTTATATGGATCGGTGATTATACAATTCCGAGGAGCCTAAAGTTTATCGTCACACACGTGACAGTGACGGCCGCTGTCACTGTCACCACGGGGGTTGCTCTTTACTTCCACACCATTAGTCATAATCGAAGTTCCGTTTGACATATCTGTACAGAAACATTTAAACATTACATATAGAATTAATTTTATACTTACATATGTATTATAGTATTTTTTGATAGTAGGGAAATAATCTGTAATGATCAAAATTGCAAGAGGCCTAACATACATACAAACATAGAATTATATTTCAGCAAAGAACTTCAAAAACTCACAAAAAAAAAATCTTTTCAGATCTGAATAGATTAATTATAATGACTTCGCTATAAAAATGGGATGAACAAGATAATGTCAAAACAAGATAAGTACCATTGGCGGGCAACGAACGGGACAAATTGCTCCGCCTTCGTGATTGTCATCCACGGTTGAAGGATGAAAGGTCGCGTTGTCTTTGGCTCACTGAAATGTAAACTAATTAATATTAATTCATACTAATGGCTCCCATCAGACACACGTTTTATAAAATATATTTTTTCCAATATTATGAAACATACACCATGACACTTGAGAATAAAATAAAGAAGATAAATTAACGCAATAACTTTTCTTTGAAAACAAAATTAGCTTAGGATTGGTTTATTTAGAGAAGAATTTCTAAATGAACACACAATACGAAACTCATTTGTCAAATTAAATCCTTTAATTCATACGTAGTGTTCTAGTGAATGTTTCAAATTATTTCAAAAAATATAAAAACATTAAAGAATATTTATTATAATCTCTACCCAAAGTTAATTGAAATTTATTAATTGTGGATCACCCAAAATAATTTAATTATTTTGGGTGACGTAACGTAAATTACAGTTAATTGTATATTCCTTGTTAATATAGATGATTTTATATTAATTTGAAACTTTGGTTTAATCAAAAGCGTAATTAATTACAATAAGCATTTAATATTGATAATTTAACAATTTCTTAAATATTTTTTATTTCAAAACTTAACTTACTAATATGCTTTAAATATTTTATTCTACTGATGTAAAAAAATGTATGATAAAAACAGTATGAAACTTTTTTGAAACGAATCTGTTTAAGCTGCTGTCAAACAACGAAATAACTTTTTATAGATAAAGAAACTTGTAATTGGAAGGACAGAATTCTTTCAATTAATTAGAAGCAAATAAACTTAAGAACAAAAAGGATCACACCCTTATATTTCTTCTTGTTCGTGACAATTGAATCCTCTTAATATTAAAGAAGGGGCTTGTCCAGATGGGACACTAAACTAAATGCTATCCCCAATTTTACAAGTAACACATGGTTCATTACTTCAATAAATAAAGAGAATACATGTCATTGTATTACTAATGAATATTTTTTATCGAAGCTTAATCTTAATTACCAATAGGCCCGTAATGACCAAACAGTATTGTTTAGTTTTATCAGTATATGCGTCATTAAGGTGAATCAATAATTTCAACTTAATATGTATATTAACAAACACACCACGATACATACATAGGTACGCAGATATTCACGCACTCACATAGAATTATTATACATACATACATACATATTGTATTCATATATACAAGATGAATAAACAAAGGAAGATCTTACCAGAAAACGACTTGTTCATTTCTAATTGCTTTTTTAAGTTATCTGGTGTCGATGTTTTTGATGACCTTCCCCAGCACAGCACCAACTTGAAGTATATTCTAAATCTAAGCCGAAACAATAAAAAATATATCTGTCAGATCCGAGAACGATCAAGAATTAAACTATGATATAGTGAGCAAGCATCTGAATGCTATTGATTTAATAGTACAAGTATTTCAACTTGTAAAGTTAAAAGCAAACGCAGAAAGGTATCTGCGTTTGCTTTTAACTTTAAAGGTATATTTAATATTTATACATATATTTTTAAGTAAGCGATATATCTTGTTAATAAAATTTTGTACCGTATATTGTAAATAAAATACAGATTTACTTTGAACATTACTTGGAATGATTCACTTTATGTTATTAAAAAAAATACAACCTAAAATAGGAATAAATAAATTTTATATGGAGAATATATTGGTATTTTAATACTTACTTGTTGCTCATCCAATAGTAAATAAGAGGATTGAACATTGAATTTGCCATGGCCAGCCAGTAGAATGCAAGATATATATGTTGAGCGAAAGGTGAAGATGCTAAGGACTGGTGATGATAGACAAGGACGAAGTATGCATGATACGGCAACCAGCAAAGTGCAAAAACCATCACCACGAGCACAAACATCCTCACAACCTGGTAAAAAATTAATAAAACATTCTAAATAAATTGTTACCAAAAACGATCGTTTAATATTAAGCATTCACAAAAAAAGAACAACAAAATCTGTAAGCATTTAAAAACCTTTTTTGGGATGCATGAAACTTAAGAAACCCTAAAAGGCCAATAACAATTTAGAAGCCCGATTCTCGGGTTGCATTTTATCTCCATTCAGACAATTTACGGTCTGTGTTTAAACGTCGGAAATGATGCGTTCAACTGTCTCTAATGGACAGACGAAACCACAACAAATATTAATAGACGTCTGTTGACATTTTATGTTTTATTTTTATGAACAAAAAATAGTTATGGATGGTTTTTAATATAAGATTTATGTCCACACATATGTACCTTTGTCAACTATAACCTATAAATTCATTAAACATTAAAATAGTAATAAATTAACTCCGAAAAACTGAAATTTATAGCAACCCAAAACTAATAACAGTTTTTCTTGTGTGGTGACTAAATCATGATAGCACCAATGTCGAAAATTCATGAATTTTAAAAAAACTTGCAGGAAGGTCGTTAACATTTTCACACCTACCCGTTTGCACTAATTACTTTTTCGAATTACATCCAATCGTCTAATGACTAAACCGAAAGAATTTCCGTCACTCTGACAAATTGTCTACAGAACTATATCCTATCACTGTCGAACAAAAGCATTGGATAATTACAGCTTTTTAACTTTAAAATCTTTTCCTCTAAGAACAACACGTTCAATCTCTTCCCTCTTAATATTGTCTTTTAACTTTTATTTTTGTACCTCGAGATCTTTCATTAAGTAACTTTGTAAAAGCAAAGTTAGACTACCATTTTAAAAAAAAACTTGTTTGTTTCAGAATTTAATTGTTACAAATTTTACCTTTAATGTTAATTGAAAAAAATATTTCCGTCACTTTAAGATAATTATTTAAATAATATTATTCTATTTTTTCCATTACTTTCCTCTGATTCTCTTGTCGTCTACCTTTATTATATAAAAAATAATATTTAAGTTGACATACCTCATTAAAAATTGTAATAAGTGAGTCCTAATCATCGTCATAAATCTACTATTTTTATCGTTTTATATGTTAGATCATATAATTCCTCCAATACAAAATAAAATTGAATGTGTTATAAAAAAGAGATTTAGAATCAACGAGTTCATTTCATATAAATAAAAGTAAGACTGCTAATGCTATAAATAAAACAATTTCAGACATGTAACCAACAAGTGAAACTTACCTTTCTTTTAGATCGCACAACTTGCATCTGATGATGTGTACATTCACCAATAGTTCTGCCTCTTAAAGCTGAACTCATTCTAGCGTACGCCCACACCATCACTGACATAGGAGCTACGTACGTTACAGCCAGGAAGATTAAGTTGTAGCTACAAAGGAATGTCACAAAGTTGCTCATTTATTATTAAATAGCATCGGTATGGGCAATGATTAAATTGCACTTAATAATAAACTTTTATACTCAGTAGAGACTTACAAATCATTTTATTATCCTATATATAAATGACTTTGAATTTATTCACTTATTGAACAACTAATATATATATATATATATATATATATATATATATATATATATATGCAGTGTGATCCACTTATAAAATGGGAATAAATACATTGACTCTAGTCTGACATTATGGAAATAGCCTGACACTGAAAATAGCACCAGATTTAAAATTATGAAAATGTTATCTTTGAATATAACCCACAAAGTTATTTAAATAAATATAAAATCATATCATTTTTAATCTTCCATTAAATAAATATGTATATTTATTTGACAGTCAATTCATATACAATACAAATAAATTATTTGATTCTTGGATATTTCGTTCGTGAACTTTATAAGCAATCTATATTAGATTTAGCGTCTTCGTAGTCAGTTGGGACCGAACTATTTAGAAATGTAAAGCACGTTGTGGGTTCCAAGACGATACTGAATACAATTAATTGATGTCAAATATTAATTGAAAACAGGTTTTATTCAATGTATGAATAAGAGATATCAAGTAACCAACTTATTTGAGCTTGTGTATACTAAATCACTTTTGTTAACTTAAATATTGATGCGCTCTTAATAAAAATATGTTATTTTACATTGAAATATCTAATTCTGAATATAATTTTCTTTCCATTTGATGAAAATAAAAAGTTATAAAAAAATGTCATAGCAAATACCTTTTTATATTGAATATAAAACAAATATTGTGTGTATAATAATGGCATTTCTTTTACTCGCTAGCTGAATTTTATATATCTGTCTGGCTATCTGTTAGCTACATAGAAGTAAACAAAAGAAAAAACAAAAGAAATATCAACAGAGGGCCAGAGTATTTTAAATCTAAGTGGAAGGGTCAGTCAACTCACTAATAATCTGTTCTTGAGGTAGGGTAGCTGCCATCCGGCCACCTTATGAAGCATATTTCTCTTTCTCCATTCACGTACCTACGAACATATAAAATCCATTAATTTTTTTTATAAATACATATTATTTAAAATGTTTCAATCTTAATCTTAACTTACTGAAGTCTTCGTACGTATATTTCTTTTATTTGATTTTACTGACTTAAAAAGAAGAATTATAATTCGACTGTATGTTTTTTAGCTTTTAGATCTCAAGTTTTCAGTTATCAAAGGCTTAATTTTTTGATGACCATTTTGATGTTAATTTTGTTCACAGTTTTGGTCATCAAAACTGTCTGTATGTTATAGAACCAGAATATTGTGGAAAAGTAATGACACATCAAAACTTTAAGAAAATAGTTTAATGATAAAATGAAAATTTTTTGCAGTTTGACAGACAAAATGTGATCTATACTGAAAGTGGGATAACAATTATTCATGGGTAAAATTATGTTTCATCCTCAATATAAATTTATATCGGTAATTTCATAGGAGTCCTAATAATTTTATTACATAATAAGTCTTATCCTTCTTATGTAGTGAGATTCTGATAGTTTTTAATTATGAGCTTATTGCCGAAAAAATCATTGTGATTGTGTGAAGATATTAGAAATGAATACAATGAAAGTTTTAAAATAATAAAGATTTTATTATTAATGATTTCAAGTTAAAAGTAGTTTCATTAATCGATCACAATACTCTTTTAATATTAGGTCAGCTGAATTATGGTTTATGTAAATATTTTTATAATTAATAACGTCTATACATTAATGATTATAAAATCGATAAAGTTTTACCATCAAACATTTATTATAACCATATAACTGAACCGTTTTAGGAGTAGACATGTTTAACTGTCTTATTAATGATCAAATAACCTTATTATTTATCTTATATTTTATTTCCTAAGAAATTACATTATATGTAATAATTCATAATTTAATAGCCTGTCTAAAAATAACACCATTGTAACAAAATTCCTATACTAAATAGAAAGAACAAATGCATAAAAAGCTAAATGCAGGATAACAGTTAAGAAACTATCTTACGGAAAGATTGTACTAGTTTCATAAGGGCAAAAATATTTATTTTTAGAATAGAGGATATTTTTTAAATTAGAGCAAAAAATTAAATCTATTTGGTTTTACGTAATACTTAATATTGTATGTTTAACTGTTAAAGTCTTTAACATAATCAGCTTATAAATACTCGTAGTTTAAGTAATAGCCGTAATAATTTAGTTTGCAAACTTTTCATAAAGTAAATATTATATTGCCAGTTCTGTTTCTAGCCTCGGGGTATTCGAAAGTTTAATACATAGCAACTAAATCTGAAAGTTTAATAAATTAAGATCAAATTTTGATAGTAAGATCTCTTAATATTATTTTTATTTTCTTCAAACACTTGAATCTATAGATATTGTTTTGATTATTGAAATAAAAATTTAAGATAAAAATGTTTTTAACAGTTTCTTTGAGTTCGGAATGAAAAGCTTTGCCAGTAGCAATATCGACCTTGTGTGTAATTCAGATAAAAACAATTCAATGGATCCATTTAGAAGTGTTTTATTACATTGCCTTCATTATGAAGGCTTTATTGCCAGACTGTTTCCTTTTTAATTAAATCAGCTTAGAATAAAACTGATCATTTTAGCTATTTATACAAATGCTTGCAGAGAAAAAGTTCGAACAAATGGACTCTAACACAATAACCTAATATTTTAGAGATTTTACGCAAGACAAGATTTGTATAATCGCGACAAAAACTATAGCGAGTTTCCATAAAATTAGTTTTAAATCAACAACTTCCATATAACACAAAAGATAAACAAATATAAGTTAGACAAAACAATTGCCGTTTTGTATCCTAAAATAACAAATTTTAATACCGAATGTTTGTAACAATCACAGATTAAGAATTTGTTGTTTTTTACAAATTGACTACGTGAATGACCTGACACATCTAATTGATATAGACTTAAAATTAATTCAGCAAAAATTAAACAGATAACAATACTTTAACAAAAACAACAAGACCTTACTTAAAATTGACATGTAAGTCGTTTATGTTAAATATTTAAAAAAAAATTGAGCCTCATCAAAGCAAAACCCTATTTACAAAAAAAAGATGATTAAAGAAAAAAATCGACACATTAAAATAATTACATAACATAAAATACAAAAACAATCCCTAAATACAAAAGAAGAATTTAGAAATAATAAATAAATGAAAATGAAAAAATTGCACATTGCAGGCCCAGTTTTATTTGCAATTTGTTTCAGAACTTAGGACAATTGAAATCAAAGTATCCCAAGTTATGTTAGTAAAACCGAACTTTAACACAAATATTATTATTCAATAGAAGTACAACTTTGAAGAGTTGCCTAAGCTGAAAATCCTTAGGTACTTAAAAACGAGGCAGGCTTGCAAGTACTATTTTAATTACTTATATCTTTTCTTCAAGATCTGTGTTACTTTTATAACACTATTTATTTTATTTTTTTCATCCTAAAATAATCCTGTCAAATCAAAATAAAAAGCGGCAAAGTAATATAAAACTTATTTTTGATATAAATACTTACTTTTTTGTGTAGGTGTCAGAATAAAGTAAGCTAGGTAACGCAAGTAGCGCACTAGCAAACCATACACTGAATAAAGCAGCACGAGCCATAGAACGACTCAGCCTGTGTTGTAGGGGCTTCACTATAGCCACGTACCTACAAAAATATCCACAAAGATAAAGGTAGGTTTACATATATGTAATTCAAATTGTTAATATCTCAAGATTTTCGAAACACAAAAAGATACATAACAATGCAAGAGAAATCAAACTAGATTACTTTATAAGTGACAGTACAATGGAGAAATGTTAAATTTGATCCTTAATTGAACCCAACTTCTCTAAAGTGACCCTTTTGCTGTCAAACACTTGCCATTGATTCTAAGTCCCTTTATATGTACAGTTCCATAGGCATTATGAATGAATTAAGTTTTAACTGTTTGTTTAAATGTTTGTAACACTTATAACTGATTTTTTTAACTCACTTTATTTATGAATGTCATTTGAGGCCTAAATAATTATATCGTACAGAATTATTTAAATATATGTACATCAATAAAATTCTTATTAATAAAATGTAAAAAATATTAATTTCCAAATTAAAAGAAAAATCAAAACTTATAGGAGAAAAATAAGAAATGACACTTTTTGATTATTGAAGTTAGATCTTTTACGTACCTGTCAACAGTAATAGCAACAAGAGTAAATACTCCAGCAGAAACTGTCAAATTTGCAGTAAAATTACTAGCTGTGCATGTCACTGAGCCGAAAGGCCAGTGGGCCGTGACAAGAAACACGAAGTTTGGTGCTCCATTCAGAGTTGCCATAAGAAGATCAGCGACCGCAAGATTCACGAGGAAACAATTTGTCACTGTCCTCATACGACGATGAGCTATCAAAAAAATAAATGTATATTACTGATCTAATCAGGTAAGGTAAGGTAAGTTAGGTTGTCCTAACTAATTTGTATACTGTTTATACATGTGTACCAAATACATACATTCAGTGTACCAAAAAGAATTGTCAAAATCCCAATTTTCTCATATTTCCCAAGTATTAATAGATTAAATGTAAACAATTTGTTGGGATCCCATATTGTTTGTCTGCAATGTTATTATAAAAAAATACATTCGCCTTTTACTATTCATGCTATTTATATTGTGTTTTTTAAGAATGTTCCTCTTTTATTCTGTTGTGAATAATTATTACACCAAAATATTATTTAAGGATGAAACATATTTTCTGAGAATCTCTCACCAAAATATTATTAACATATTTTTTAGCAATAATATATTTCTGAAAATTTGCTGTTGACAAGGGAATTCATTACTAAAAATTTGAAATATGAAAAAACCTTTTTGACTCATTAATAGAAAATTGTGCTCTTTGTATGTGGTTTATAATGTTATAACATAAATTGAATTGTTTGAATAAAATTCTAAAATATCCTTAAAAATATCATTGTAAAAGTGTATGTATGTATGTCACATATTAATATACAAACCTAGGACGATCCATATAACCAAGGTATTACCAATAACGGCTAGAAGCAGCATGCTAGCAAACAGAATGAACCAGGCTAGCTGACCCCACCAAGGAGGACTGTAAGGCCGCTTGCCTAGTCCCATGCAATTTCCAAGCGTAATTCTGCAACAAATAATTTTATTAAAGTTGATTCCCATAAAAATTGACGTGCTTTATATGTAATATCGGACTTAAACACAATAAATTCTATAACTTATGCTTTATAATGTGTAGAGAATAAGCTACCAATCATGTTTCAGTAGAAGACGGTTAAATTAAAACAATATAGCATTGCTTTACTACATACAATTTTTTGTTCAATGTACAATTTTTTTCTTTTGTTATCAATTATGATCTCGACGAAAATCAATTTAAAAAAACGAAAACATAACTTTTAAGTATAATTGACAGCTGTTCCTATTAAAATCTTGCCATGAACAAGATTTAATTGTTAAAATTCCATTAGGAACATTTCTCCAACAATTTAATTTACGTTTTCTTCTGACATTTTAAGGAAGTCCGTTTTGTCAAGTGACACCCAATTATTATAACCGCCACTTCATCTCTTGAATCAAGATAAGGAGCTCCCTTTTTAATTATTTGAACATTGAAATACTGCTTTATATTTTTTCTACGTCTGGGTTTCATTTAAGATTGTAGAGATTATTATCCGTACAAAAGCCTAACAAGTACAAGGTTTTTAAGTTTAATATTAAATAGTTATTTAATTTAAATGGTTTACATAACATTTATGTCCAATAAATATGCAGGTTACATAAACACAATAGGTGGCTGACAAGGATTTCCGTCGATAAGAAACAATGTCCATTTATTAAGTATGATTAATTGACATTCAGGAATAAATGTCTTGTTTCTCAAGTAGGATTATGTTAAAAAAAAGTAAAACATTAGCCAGATACCGATATCCATCGTTAAAGTTAAGTGGGAACTTGTGAATTATATAAATACAATTTCATAGTTTTTCCAACAAGCTTACATCGAGAAGTTCATACATTGAGTTAGATTGTAAAATTTATTTGAAATAAAATTGGTTCAAACTGGTTTTCTTTTAACCTCTCCATCTGTTGCTAACGTAACTTGCATGTGATTCTCTTCTTCCTGCCCTGGTCCCACTTTATGTAGGGTCGGCACAACATGTTCTTCTCTTCCAGTCTCGCCTATCAACCGTCATCTCATCGGTTACCTATTTCTTAGCTATATCATCCTTCACGCAGTCCATCCATCTTTTCTTAGGTCTACCTCGACCCACATATCCCTCCATAATCACATCTAACATTCTTCTTGTTATAAGACATGTAACTTGCATGTAATTAAAGAAAGATAATTATTGTTTTGTCCACTTATAGTTTAACTTCTTATTTCACAATATGTAACATTTAATATCTCCAAAAAATATATTCAATGTTACGAATTATGTGGTCAAATAAAAACAATAATGATAATATAAAATCAATCACTTGTGTAAGCAAAAGACTAATAATAAATTAAAAAATATGATTGGACATTAATCAAATAACACGACACTGTTTGTTTAAGGGAATGTTCGAAATATCTATCAGCCTCTTTTTAAGACCTCGTCTAATTAAAATGTACAGGAAAATTCGTATAACATTTTCAAATTGCAAAAATACTTTGAATAAACAAAATTCTTTGCCTATATTTGTTCGACCTACAATGACGGAATTGGTGATTAAATTCTTATACAAATTTATTTAATTTATAGCAATCGACGCATCCTGTCGGTTATATAATAGTACCAACGAATTTAGTTCTTCGTTAGAACAGCCTTGAACACACAAAACCATCACAAGGATTGTATATCTAAAAATAAATGTAATATGTGTAAATCTGCACCTACATATATACCACATTGTTACTGAGTTTTGAGTAAAGCTTTGAGCCCTTTCCATTGAGCGAACATCTGGCGTTTTGTTCCTGAATAATTACTTGCGTCACATTTTTTATCAGGATTAAGACTAAGAGTGATGAAATTCATTATCCCTTATTCACTTTTTGACCATAATTCCATTAAACAATAATCCTAATAACCCGTTCACAACCCTTAATAGATTTGTATATGTTTATATGATGATGATATTCTAACAAAGTAACAAATTAAAATAAATCAATTAAATCAAAATTATGGTAACATGGTCTGAATAATTAATTTACATCAAACAATTAAACCTTTAATACATATTCATATAATTTAAATTGAGTAAGCCAAGAGTAAACTAACATTATTCAAGTAACTGTTTACCTCCGTCTACCAGGTTTAATTTGGTCCTTTAACCTTTGTACGGAAGATTACAGCAAGAAATTCCTCTTAACAGTTTGATTAGAACAAATGAGTATAATCTTTAATTGACTCTGTACTTTAGACAGTTCTTACCTACAAAGTACATTTTTGCGTTATTACTAAACTAAATTAATATAAATATCACATATTTTTTATTACATTCGCATGATTAGGTAATTGAAAATCTTAATCTTTTTTTATACATGTTAAATTAACTGTTAAAATATTAAAATATTTGTAGTAAGATGAAAATTAATAAAAACGAACATATTTCAATTATAAGGCTTAGGCTTTAGGTGACCAAATTTGAAAAGAAGCCTCGTCTACTTAAATTATTTCGTAAGTAATTTCGGTTTCAGTTCATAGAGAACTTAACTTGGCTGTTTTGTAGTTATATTTCTCGTAAAAGTTTAATAAGACTTTAACATCCCATCAAAGCGAATTGATTCTACTTTGATTTTTAAATATTTATATATAAGTGTGTATGTGTGTGTGTGTGTGTGTGTGTGTGTGAATGTGAATTTAAAATGAAACACCAGAAAAGACTGGAGGTTAAAGATAAGTCCACATATTATGCAAGGATGGGTTAAAAAATACATACGTTAATTTCCCCAAAAGAATAGCAAAAAAGCATAAGGGTGACTACGATTTGGTCAAAACGAATCCCTTCAGCCTTGAGCCCGGGATTTGTACGTTTTAATTTTGCTTATTTACCAACGGACAACTTTACGAACGCCGGCACTTCATCCTTTTGTTGTAAATCTTTTATGCATCCGAACGAAACGACACCCTTTCTGCTTCCACAAACAAGCAACAAATGAGTGAAGCAGTTTATCTGCTTCTGTTTTTCTTGACACTTATAATTGGTATGTACTGAAGGCAAGAATGGATAAGGTTTTACTTAAGACTTTATTTTTAATCATCATCAAATGGGATAATATTTAAGTACTAACTAGTAGATAAAAATTATAAAGCAAATATTTGCTAGTTAAAAAAAAGGAACAAATATTAATATAATGAGATAAGACTTGTAATATGTTATCTATTTAAAATTTGTTTTTATAATGGAGGTTAATAATTTTCGATTTTATTGTTATTATTTGTGTTTTGTAAAAATATACTTAAGCGCAATATCTTTATTAATTATGGACAAAAGAAAGTGAAATTAGCAAATTAATATATTTTTTAATTAATTTTTATTAACTAAATTTTCAATAAAACTATCACAATACGTATCCAAACGAAGGCTTCGTTGCCGTCTACAATTTCATGCATTTTTAGGATTCCTTTGCCCTTGAGGTGACCTAAGAAGGGTGTCTGTGAAATTAATACCACGCGAATTACTTTCGAAAGTACACCATAAAAAAGCCTCAAGAGTAGAACATTTTTACTCGCATCCGTTTTATTTAGTCCTATAAACTTTTATTAGAACTCTCAGAGGTAAATGATAACCTTAAAACATAAATACATGTATTACAGAATACAATAATAAAACAGTACATTGAATGTATATTCGTAGTGTTTTTTCAACACATAAAGTTTTAAGGTGATTAAGTGAGTCGTTTGTTGTTGAAAGATATCACACAGACTTTTTAAGTTGAATATTTCTTTATGGCTTATAACATCAAAACAGAATAGTCATTGTTAGTATTCTTGTTATTTATATGCGAACCTATATGCGTTTACCTCAAAAATGTTTAAACCATTGTAAATGTGTTGTATTAGTATTGTTAGGTACAATCTTTGTTTTTATTTCAATGAATTCACATTTAAAAACTTTATAACGACTATTCCATCGGCGAAGTCATTTCTACGAACAGAAAATGCGACTTCGATAGAAGGAAACATAAGCTTTCACATTATATATTTGTATATTTTTTGTTGTGTCGTTGCAGTAGCAGTAGTAGTTTTATACGGCAGTGAGCTCAAGCACACTGATTTGCACAAAAACATAAAATTCGTAGTGTGCATCAGAAAAAGCTTGGGCCATCGTTTTAATTACTAAGTTTATTCGTGAGTTATATTCAAAACAGTCAGTATTTATTATGAATACTATTATTATTATTATTTTAGCTTCTAATACATATGTATGTATATGTTACGCACAAAGATCATAAACGCCTAGTGAGCGGTAAAATAGCTCACAACGCGTTGTGGTCACGAACTTTATTGACAAATATGATGTGCCCTCAAATTTGTAGTCAACACTTTGCTTAGTAGTGTATCTAGCCATTTATTGCCACATCGAGTTATCATGGAATAGTATCTTAGCTATTTCACGAGTTTTGCCATATCACCCGTTTTTTTTGTGTTACCACAATTCCATGTGAGCTATTTTTCGGCTCACTGAGCTTTTTTTGACTTTTATCTGTATATCTTCTATATATACATATATATATATATATAAAAATGGATTGCTGTTCCTTAGTCTCGCTAAAACTCGAGAATGGCTAAACCGATTTGGCTAATTTTAGTCTTAAAATACTCCTGGAAGTCCAGGGAAGGTTTAAAAGGTGAGAAAAATTGGAATAATTACCGGGAAAACCCTAAAAACAGCCCTTTTCTATTTCCCATACAAATGTTTTTTTTTGACATTACATTTGACAACTAACTAATATGTCAATCATTCTGTTTGATTGAAACAGGAAAAACCTGATTATTTATGGCCTCTAAGACGGAATAGAGTTTGCCTGGTCAGCTATACCTACATATATTACTCTTGACCAAACTAACGAGCGACGGAGTAGCGGGCAAAAACTAGTATATACTAAATTCTTAATTTTGCAACTATATCGATGACTTTTATTTTACAAAACTTTAAGCTTGAACAAATAAATCCTTACAATTAGTGAGGGCTCATGGATTACCCCGCCCGTTTTGATTAAAAAGAATTAACAATCTATACACTTTTACTTTAAATCCTGACCAACTTTTCTATGAAACTTATCATCATAATTCTTAACAAAAAAGATAAGTAAAAAGAATGTATAATGATGTAGAAAATCCTTGAGGTACTCAAACTTTTTATAATTCCTTAAGACTTAACTTTAAGAGCCATATTGAAAGAATTTAATGGGCTTTTAGTCTTGTTTTGGCTGATTAAGATTGTTATAAAATAAAACAGAAAATTATTCAGTTTTGTTCTATAACAAATTCTACAATATCGCTCTCGGCAAAACTAGTGTAGA